TTTTTTTTTTAGTTTAAAGCCAAGGTTGTTGTAGAGGCCAGGACCAGACACACGGTGGTTGCTTCTCCATGACGCTGCCGGTTAAATCACGAGCACTTGACCCAGACATCGGCCACGGACCCCTCACATTAATGCGCTGCGACTTTTGGGGCTGATCCGCCATTGACAAATCACATATCAATGGCCTTTGTCGCGTTTCCAGGACCCCCCGAAGCTCGCGGTGAGGGGGCCCGTGGCCGCTGTATGGGCCAAGTACTGGTGGCTTTAAGAAGTAAGCCATGGCTGCTGATATACAGGCCTGTGTTCGAATCCTGATGATAGAATCAGGTGAGAGAATCAATTACTTGGAATTTTGATGAATGATAACCGAACCTCGGCTCAGTTGTCAAACCATCGGTATAGCTTTCACGGCCAACGGAGGGCGACACTTTTTCAAGTCTCAACCTCAGCCAGCGGTATGAGCAACGCACCTGTCAAAAACAAGTCTCCAACTTGCTGCTTATCCCCAAACACTCCGCGCGACAGGCTGGTCAACACACCAGCCAACAAGCAAGTTTCCACCTCCCTCAAGCACAAATTCAACGAAGGAGTAAGGCAATAGCAAAGACAATAGTCGTAGCAAAAGAAACAGCGAAAATCAGCAGAAAAAACACTAAGCAGCGGAGAGAAATACAACAGTAACACCGGTTCTAGCAGCACAGCACCGGTGCCAACAGTCTTGAAGTCCAATCCAGCCGCACCACCCAAGGGTCCGCCGCTGTAGCCAATGGCTCGTTGCTGCAAAAGGCAGTAGTTCTTCCGACTGAGCTAACCGGGAGTCAGTGCGGCGTGAACAAAAACAACCCTCACTTCAAGGCGTATAAGGCAGCAACTTGAAAAGGAGCACCGTGCGGTTGCTAGCAGCGCCCGACTCTTGCCGTCGCTCGCGCCAAATGTGAATGAGTTTTCCATTAGAGCATGGAAAGGTACATCATTAGCTTCACATCCTTCCCATACGCCGCTGCCAGTGAAGTCTCTCACTCTCTCTCTCTCTACTACAGTACTTCCTCATTGTCCTCCCTCACTTTTCATACCCCCGGTTGACCTCTTAACCAGGTTCACCAAACTCTATCGGCCCGACGAAAACGAGCTGGTTTACCGGCAGGAAAAGGACCCGACAGACGTTGCAACTCGGCGGTCCCATAGCCAACCTTTAAGCCATGGGTACAACCTCGACATTGGCATGTCGGGCCAAACCCCGTGGACCTAGGAAAATAAAAATAAAAACTTCCTATCCCTCCCGTACTGCGGCCCCATCCTGGCGCGCTCCTCTTTTTAGCCTACTTAGGCCCTAGTAGGATAAAGTTTGACACTCCCATATCCGCACGCTTCTGCGGCTTCGACAAAAGTGAAGCATTGGTAGTTACTGTCGCCACTCTCGGACGCCGCAGGCATCCGGACTAGGGTTCTAAAAGTTTTAGTTTCCCGGTCATAGGTCAGGTTTGAATACACTTTTGACAAACATCAATCTCATCAAGTCCTTCAAAAAAAATCGAACAGTGTCCGACGTTCAAAACGCCCGGCAAATACCCTTGTCAGGGTTTTGCCCCGACACCGATGTTTGTAAAACGCTGGACCCCCTGGCTGTACATGGACCTAGCTTGAGACCAGGTACATCTAGGCAGTCCTGCCTTGATGTACGTGGTCTTAAGCTAGGTCCATGTACAGCCAGGGGGTCCAGCGTTTTAAAAACGCTGGACCCTTAGGAACAACAAATTTTGACGAGTTTTCGACCAAAAAACTCGGTTTCAATTTCGTTCAAAAAATTAAAGATGTCCATTTTGACAAAATGGCAGT